TTTGGATTTCATCGTTAGCAGTTCAGCTCGTGCCGTGCTCTGTGAGTGCATTTATCCTCTTTGCTTGCTGCGTTCTGACGTTCTGCTTCCCGGGCAAAAGACGCTTGTCAAATGTTGTCGTCGTCGTGTTTATGCGTTAGGTTGTGTTTCAGAAACGCAATCGAAGTGTGCCGTGCTATTAGATGCGTTTGTTTACCGTCGTTGAAGTTGTTGGTTCTGATTTCGGCGTTGGTCGCGATTTGAATCGACTGGTGAGGGGCTGGTGCTGCGTATTCCTGCCTGTGTATGTACTGGTGAATCGAAGCCGTTGTGTCGCGAGTGATTGGTGATGGGAAGTGGTCGTAGTACTTTTTTCTGCTGACATCCCTTTAGTCACAGCAGATAGAGTGTGTTTAGTGGTTTATGGGGGTTTCCGCTGCTGTGTGACGAAGGAACGGCTAGAGAGTTGTTTTTGACACCGGTTGAAGAAGTAGCGTCAGCATATCTATGGGAGCTCTTCGAAATCATCCTGCTGTTATGGATTCCTTTGCAACATATGAGGTGAGATCTTTCCTACATTTTTCACTTAATTTTCATTCTATTATTACATGAAACATTAAATGCTGGGTAATGGAGGGTCGATTGAAGCGAAAAGGATGGAGAGAGTGGGAATTCAAACTCCTTGTCTTTAACATGTCGTGAAAAAAGGGCGTGTGCTTCTCACCACCTTTTGGGACATCCTTATGTTGGATGGCCTGTTTTTTTACCGGTTGTATGATACTGTTTTTGGAAGGAGATGCTAATTTATCCTGTTGATGCACGTGGGCGATGTTTCCCACGTATTCACCCAAACCGTTTTTGACACTTCATACAATTAGATGTTATTAATCTTGATCAAGTCGAACAGCTAGGGATTGTCCACAGTCTACCAACAGTTGTCTTGCTACAGTGAGTGGTAATCCCATATCATATCATATCGTATAAACGTCACTACGTAGGTGATAAGTGTCAAAACTACTTTCCTCTGATGGCGCTCTCTTTGGGAAACTAGAAGAAACTGACATTATCGACGTACCCATCAACTGATGGACTGGAGACTAACGGCTTTACTTCCCGTAATCAGAGATTGTATGTCTCAGAAAATTCCGGTGGCGCCGATTGATATCAAATCCAGGCTCTTTGGGTGAGAGGCAATCACGCTTACCACTACACCACCGGCGCCGCTGGTCGTGGCATTTTTCAAATAGTCAAAAAAGTATTCGTTTTACTGTGACGCTGAAGCAAACGACGGTGGCTCAAATTAAAATTCACTCGAAGTAAAGTCAACATTGCAAAAATCTTGCAGACAAAATAACACAGTTGGGCGTGCAACCAGATTTACTTTTACTCTCTCCACGCGTCTCTTATAAAACATTGTCTCTGGCAAATACCAATTCAAAACATTCAAGTAGATCGGTTAGAAAACAGTTGTAGCTTTAATCGCCTAATCCTCTCCTGTCACTGTTCGACGGATTTCTGTACCAAAGACAGAAATCTAGCATAATATCATCATAAAGGGTGCTACGATCAAAATTTGGTTGACTTAAACTTGACGCATTTATTTTAATCGAGCATTTAAAAAACCTGAACACCCCTCATGTTGTAGGTGTGTGTGTGCAGAATGATGCTTCTATTTTGATTCTGATATTTGCTCTTCAGTTATCAAAATGGCGTCCAAACAAGTGGAGTAATGCATCAACATTTTGCACGCGCATTGCGAAAATCCGAACTACTCGCACTTCAAACAGACTTCAAACAATTTTATGGGCAGGAGTTTTATACAACAACCGGGAGGGGAATGGTGGCAGACATTTTCATGCATATGAAACTGTTGAAGATCGCTAAGAAATATCTGGTTTGGCAAGCTATCTTTAGTATCTATACCTGTGGCTTGAAAAGCGACATTTTCATTGCAACCGGGACCGTCAACCTGGAATTTTACGTGAACGAGTATCTGGAAAAAACACGATTGTTCCGTGCTGTTATGGTCGGATATGGCATCCTGCCATTACGAAAAAAAAAGTATGCCCCCAATAACGTGGGGGTAGTGCCCAAGGACAAGAACCCTTTCAACACACCAGAGTTCCAGCCAATCAAAAAATATTGAGCAATCGAACCTGAACTTACTTAAGGGTCATGTGCACCACCAGCGGTGCAAAGGGCCAACGTGAAAGACTTCGATGCTGGGCGGCTGCTCGCTTTTGCCTTGACCTGGGCCCAGGTCAGATTCCTATCGACTTGCTTAATTTACTCCGCCGCCTGGGTCTGTCTCTGCTGCGATGTTCTGCCGGATTCCAATCCAGCGCTTGCTTGCAGATTTCGTTTCCGCCCCGCCGAAGTGTGTGGCCGACCCACCTCCACTTTCGCTCTCGAATTTCTGTTGCTATCGGCTTCTGATAACATCGACGATGGATATCGGCACTCGAGATCTAGTTGTGAGGCCACCAGGCACGAATTATATACCGCAGACATCGGTTGATGAAGACCTGCAGCTTTTGAGTGCTCTCCGCTGATACACACCACGTCTCGCTGGCGTATAACAACACATATTTCATGTTCGAGTTGAAAATTCGGATTTTGGTGCGTTGACTTATCTGGTTGGATCTCCATACGTTTCGTAAACTCACAAAGGCAGCCCAAGCCTTCTTGATTCGTGCACCTAAGTCGCTCTTGGTCCCGCCGTCCGACGCTATTTGGCTGCCAGATATTGGAAACTTTCGACCTACTCCACTGCTTGCCCCGCTACCGTAAAGTTGGAAGGGTTGCCCGTTTTGATCCAACGATTTGGTCTTGTTGACGTTGATGGTGAGACCCGCCTCAGAGGAGCGTTCGGCTAGGTCATTGAGCTTACTCTGCATATCAGAGCGCCGTTGTGCTAGTAGAGCAACATCATCAGCCAAATCGAAGTCGTTGAGATGCTCCATGGTGATAGGCTGCCAAAGCAGCCCACGGTTCGGCACACGGTCAATTGCATCTACCATGATCTCGTCGATTAAGATGAGAAACAGTAGCAGTGATAGTATACATCCTTGTCTCACACCAGCGACTACCCGGATAGGGTCGGACAAGGCTCCGTTATGCAGAACTCTGCACGTGAAAGCCTTATACTGCGCTTCGATGAGGTTGACGATTTTATCCGGGACTCCCTTGCGTCTCAGGGCGCACCACAGATTCTCGTGATTGAGACGGTCGAAAGCTTTTTCGTAGTCAATGAATACCAAATAAAGGGACTCTTGTAATTCATTGACCTGCTCCAGCATGATGCGGAGCGCGACAATATGGTCCACACAAGATCTTCCGGCACAGAATCCTGCCTGCTGCCGTCGGAGAGTCGCGTCGATCTTCTCCTGTATCCGATTCAGGATAACTTTGCACAGAACTTTGAGAACAATACACAGTAACATGATGCCTCGCCAATTGTCGCACACAGTCTGATCTCCCTTCTTTTGGATCTTCACTAAGATGCCCTGCATCCAGTCGGCCGGAATCGAACCTGAAGGACCCAAAAAAAAAACTGTTGGAAGATAGTTTGTCTTAAACTGCTTCTCGCTTCCAACAGTTTTTTTATCGAACCTGAAGAAGACCCAAAAAACTATTGAAAGCGAGAAGCAGTTTAAGACAAACTGGCGTTCTGCGACGGACAACGTGGACGAAGTGATTGTACGGAATCTGATGGCAGGAGTTAAACGAAAGGCTCATCACTTGGTATTTGGTAGGCTTTGACCACTTATAGCTCTGTCAATCGCGGATGGGTTTTAATTCTAAACAAACCAATCGATTGGAATTTTTTCTACGAATCTGCTAAAATGAACAATTTATCAATTTTCAATAAGTCACTATTGAAAATTACACAAATGTCCAACTGCTGCAATGGTAATCAAAATTATCATCGATTGCCTACAAAAAGCGCTCTCCCTAACACAGTCGCCGAATATTGATATCCAGGACGTAATCCTACGTCAAATCTACGGTCATGCCTTGGATACAACCTCTTACTTTTTTCTGCATTTTATCGAAGACAACATATCAAGAAGACTGGCAACTCTTCCATTTTCTCAAATGGTATGAGATAGGCACAATCGCGTCATCTGCCGCTCAAAGGTAAATGCTGCGAACGAATTGGATAGCAAAGGTTCCATCCTCAGAAGAAATGTTCGTGTATTTGATCGTTTTTCTATGCGTTGCTTCCTCCTTTGCTCGTGCGAAGCGCTACTGTGTCTGTCGCTCAGATTCAGGCAATTTTGCCAGTCTTCTTGATAGGTTGGCTTCGATTTTATACTAGTTGAACTTAAAAAAGAAAAAAAATATTTGAAACGTGTAAATACATTTTTAGGGGCCTCATAGCCTAGTCAGTAAAGGCACGGTATTACCAAGCCGGAGGCGGCGGGTTCGATTCCCAGTCCGGTCGAGGGAATCTTTCGGGTTGAAAATTTTCTCGACTTCCCTGGACATAGAGTATCATTGTGCTTGCCACACAATATAAAAAATCATGCATTGGTATTGGCATCGAAAGCTCTCAATTAATAACTGTGGAAGTGCATTTAGAACACTAAGTTGAGAGCACGCAATAAGCTAATATGCGCTAAGCAATAAGCTTGAAATGCGAACAAGAAGAAGAAGAAATACATTTTTGTTTGACCAAATTTTGATCGTACACCCTTTATAACACGCAACCTTAGTATGATGTTTATCACGGACTGGATAAGTTTGTTGTTTGCTCAATTAATTGAATTAATAGAGGATTTGTAAACTCTACAGCTTTTCTCATAAAGACAACGCGGCTTTGGTTGGAAGCTTTTCCTGAACTGTTATTATTTAACATCCAAGTTAAGGTAAGGCCCATCACAACAGTGTTGCACAGTGGTTGACATAATAAAGTATTTAATAAGCTTATAATCTACCGACAAATTTCAGTGACTTACGAGAACAAAGGTCAGCAGAAATAATCCAGACTAAATCAGAGGATGGTGGATCGTACTTACCGTATCGCTTCAATCATTTGCAGCCCCATGTTGACACAGTTGGCGGCGTGCTGGGGCCGGGATACTGGCAGTCCGGATACACAGTAGTAGCAATCGCCCAGAATTTTTATCCGCAGGCATTGATTCTCCTGGGGGATTGCAGGGTCGGTCGGTATGTGCGTTGATTGTTGAAGATTGGCATGAGAATGGAAGAAAGTAAATTGATACCGATCAGAAATGAGAAACCAAGCTGGGCGGCGAGGGCTGCTGGTGCGTTGACAGAAATCTTCAGGGGAAAATTAAATAAATAGAATAAACAACAATTTCAACCGTTTTGATGACGTTGAAGCCGGGGTGTGGAAGCGAAGTGGAGCGAATAGTACTAGCGCCGTGTGGTGTTTGATTGGATTAGATTTGATTAATATCAAATTGGAACGATGCTGGCGATTATGTAATCGCAACTTGAGAAATTTAATCGACGATGATGTCTAACCACCGTTATGTTGTTTGTTGGATAGGGGCGTTCTGAGAAGTGAATTATGGTTGTTTGATTGGATTGTGTATTGAGCAAATATAGTTGCGTGTTTATGAGCGTTGTTTATCTGAATGTTTATATTAGTAGTGATTGCCAGATGTAACATTACAACATAAATTCGTGCTTTTAAGTAATCCAACCAATAAATCCTACCGGTACGGTGTGAAATCAGTTTATAAATACATTATCCATCAGAAAGTTTCCATCATGCATGAAGAGACTAATTGAAACAGCAGCAAAATCATCACACATGTGTTCCTAAACAATCCCCTTCCCCTCTACTATACATGTCAGCAACAGATTAGTCTTATATTGAAGTCATTATCTACTACGAATAAGAGTCTCTCCCATCACTGCAAGTAGCTTGATGACATGCGGGATGACAGCTAATTAACAAACTACACTCCAAGGGAAGAACCTCCCATTGGGTACTGCTATGCAACGGGAAGGTAATACTTACTTGTGCAATTTGATCAAACCGTCCGAACAGCTCGTTGAGTGTCTTCACCAAGTCAGACGCCGTCAGCTGTTCCGAGAGGGGCGTGAAGTTCACAATATCAGCATACAGGATGGACACGTTGTTGTGTCGTTGTACGTGCATTTCGTGAAACCGGGTCTGGCTCTGGCCACCGGCCGTTTGACAAGCGTCGGCCATTTTCAGCATTATGCTACGTTTCACTTCCGCTGCAATGTAGGCCGGTATCACGCTCAGCAGGAGCTGTTCTTGCTGTTCTCGTTCGCATTCCAGACGAACCCGTTGCTCGATTCCGATACGAGTCCCGTCGACGGCATCGATATGGGCTGCGTCGGACATGATGCGATAGTATAGGCCCGAGATGGATGCCGACGCTAGGAATATCAACTCACCCAGTAGCTGTGGGAAAAAGTAGGCCGGCAGGTCGTGGACTCCGGCCCAAAGGCGGTAGCCTATGTGCACTAGGCACAGAATTACCGCTAGCACCACCGACACCGGCCAGGAGACGGGTAGCATCGTGTGGACACCCTGCCGAGAGACAGATGGAAAGAGTGAATAGACAATCCAGATAATGGAGGGAAATTTAGAGGATTATTGCACGTAAATTACACTGGTGATAGAATGACAAAAACATGAAAATGAATGTTGTAGACGGGCGTCGGAGTGGTTGTCCAGCTGTTCACCATGGGGGTATTCTTGAAAGTTACTGACAGTAACTTACTGTTATGCAGTACGAATTTTCTTGATATTGATAGTTAACAAAATGTCTTGATAGTACTTAAGTGTCGAAAACTTGTGTATATCATTTACTCCACGTCCCAAATATTTAGTTTACTATTTCACACGACCTGCACTTCCTTTTGAAACGTTTCGACAAACTTTACAGCTCAAATATAACCATCACAAAACGGACACGGAGAGCTACCCTCAAGCACACCACATGAAAGCAAACGGTAACCATCAAAATGCTGACCATCCTTTCAGTTATGCTACTGTTGCATCACTGCCCTACGGCTCCGTTTAAAATTAAAAATGGAAATTTAACAGAAAATGCAAATTCATTATCCAGCTCCCATTCACCAGTGCAGCTCAGTGCAGTTCGCAGCCTATTTTCCCGTTTCATCATGGGAGCTAAGCTAAGTGACAAAGTGATAGCACACAGCAGGGATGCACTGTCTGGCAGGGTGAGATTGTTTGCATTGCAGCCAGCCGACCATCGCCTTCGTCGTCATTGGGGTGCAGCAAACTCCGGCGGCGGCGGCTGGGTCATTCTGATGCTGTAGAGCTTCATCGTTCAGCTTTGCTTTGGGCTTTCAGAGGAAAAGACAAGCAGCATAAAGCATTCGTTTGTTTTTTCATGTAGGATGGGAAAATAAAAGTCAACAGTCTACTGAGTGGTGGGTAGCAAGCATCATCGGGACATTTTTGCTAGTTGAGGTTATGAGACTTTTTGAAGCTTTTTTATGTTGTGTGTGTAAAGCGCAAAGCCGCAGTGTAATATTTGAAATGGCAAAGTTCCAGTGCATGAACTACTTTTTTATGGGTTTGTAATGTTTTTATGTGAAAAAAATAATGGTGATAGATGGCGTTCCTTTCAATTTCTCTCATGTGTACCAAGCCAACTCGATAGTTGTACGACAGTTGTCAGGAATTGTGATTTGTTTGAGCATGTATTAGATTTTCCTTCTGTCAGTTTTTCTGTGACGATGCGTTTCGATTTTCAAGTTAAATCAACTTCACCTACCGAACACAGGCTTCGAAAAATATCGAGGTACCATAACTATCAAAATTATATTGAACGGAGTTTTGAGAAATTGACTAGCCAGCTAGTGAATTATCAACTCCGTTTCGTTTTCGAAAAACGCCGTTAGATTTTTTTCTAGTAAATAACGGGTGTTCAATAAAAAATGAGAATGATTTCAGTGCCGTCCAGCACTCTTGTGAGAGCATCGCGACTAAGTTGCGTCGTATGGCTGACCAGTAGACTGATGCAAAATTTGAAAGTTCCACTCCACAGTGCTCAAACCGTTTCAAATTGGGCCCTGATTAGGCTCCCAAAATTTGAACTCATTTAGTGAGAAACTGACTTGGCACAAACCATTTGAAGTTTATATGGGAATTACTATGAATAAACCATAATTTCGGTTCATATCTATCTCAAAATTCCCCAATTCAATATACTTTTGAAAATGATAGCTGAGCTTGTTGAAAATTTTTCCAGCTACAACTTTGTTCAAGACCACTTTTCGATCAAATGTAAGGAACAAAAAATATTAATGATTCAAGTCAATGATGTCTTATGATTATGCTCAATCAACTGTTCAACAGGCAACATTGGTGTTTATGGCGCGTAGAATAGAGGACAAAAATCATGGCTACTATGTCACACTGCAGAATACAGTGTTGCCCACAATACAGTTGCTTAAACTTGCCATAAGATTATCAATCTCTTAAACAATTAATAACTATTTTATTTGACGTTTGGCAGTAAAACAATTTTCTGCAAAGTTGTAGCTGATAAAAATTCCCATAAGAATAGCAATAGAATTTGTTAGCAGTACAATATGTAAAAAGGCTAGAAGACAATGAACAAAAAGTTTTTTTTTCCCATAGTAATTTCCATATAAAATTCAAATGGTTTGTGCCAAGTCAGTTTCTTATCAAATGAGTTGAAACTTTTGGGGGCTAATCAGGGCCCAATTTGGAACCGTTTGAACACTGTGGAGCGAAAATTTCAAATTTTGCATGCCCCTTCTTCAATATTCATTGACGTTTTTTTTTAACAATAAACATCATGTTTTTAATAAAAAATACTGAATTCGTTGAAAAAATTTTTTTCTAGCTATATCACTGAAAAAATTCTTATTTTTTATTGAACACTCGTTAGATGTGTAAAACAAAGTTCGAGAAAAATGCACTTCCACTGAGTAGATCGCGCTGGAAGGAGCAGAAGGGTTTTAACGACCTTATGGCAGTCGCACGCTAACATTAAATAATAAAAACCTATTACCAACCGGTGGAAACTAACTATTTTAAATTGGCTCACTACTTGACTAGCCTATTGGTTCCAAGTAAATCGATTAATATACCTCATTCTAGTCGAAATTCTAGTACTTCACTATGTTTGTTTTGATTTGCTATGAAAGTTTGACAGATAAAATGAGGGGTTCATGGATTTTCCTATGTTTCGAGGGGTGCATCGATTAGCTTGGGACCGAAGAGAGTACCAGAGCTGAGCCAAAGAATTGAGCACGTTTCTTCGGGACCTTCTAGTCTTAGAGTTACTGTCATTATTACCTGTACACTTAAAAATAACTATTTTTACACGTAACTTAATTCGTCTTTGACGTGAATCATCGAACTTAAACAAACATGTGATGTAACATTAGATACTCAGAACCCGAAACATACGCAACACGACAAAAAGTGCGTTTGATTGAATTAATTTTCTCGTCTCTTTCATCATACAGGTCGCTTCCATGTGTCCTTCTCAGAGCACTGAAATTAACATGACTTTTCCGTATTGTGTATAGGAGAATTTACGTATCCTCGTCATTATAAGCAGCGTCTGCACTTATACTAGCAATTTCTAAGCGTCACGCACAAATGTGGCGTGTTTGTTTGTTGACTTTTATCTGCTGCTTGCTATTTTATCCATTCCAATTGACAGAATTGTCCAGAACAGTTTGAAAACGTTTTTACAACGCTCCAATCTTCTCAGGTGAGTGTGACTATTGTCGGCTGCCTTTTCATTTGAACTGCGTGTTAACCAGCTGTTCTATTATCGGCAACTCGATCAGCCGTATATTGTAGCGCGCATGTTTCGTTTGAAGAAAAACCTTGCCATTACAAGTTTGCTCAATCGTATTTTTTTTTCAGATTTAAACTGAATGACTCAGCAAACATTTAAATACGTTCAGCGTTATGGTGTGAAAATACAGAGAAATTGACGTTTAAATTTTGGTTGCCAAAACAGTCAAGGGGTGCCGAAGCCATCATTTTTGTTTATTAATTTATTTAATAAGGCTCAACCGAATTAACTTTACAGAGCCGAGGATTCTTGTTCACTATACAATACATCTTAAAACAATAGTCAATATCTTCCGATATCCAATAAGCCTCCTCCACCAGAACGGGAGCCGCTTCCAGTGGTTTCATTGTATGGCAGATTCGCCAACGGGGGTCAGAGCGCATCCATTGCAGAAATGGACGCAAAACGTGGGCAGCACTCACACATTCATCACGAAACGGTTGCTTTCCAAAGTCGACGACGCATCGACTGAGAGAACTTCTGATGAAGAACAATCAGGAGGACCACACAATGGTTGCTACCGAGCAAACAGACGATCGCGTGACACTCATTGAGAGTGGCCTGCTTCTGTCGACAGCCGAGTGAACACTGTCGAAGCCATCATGTACCCTACTAGAATATCCGTGCTCATTTATAATAAAAAAAACCCTATTAATCCACCAACCGGTGACAAATGTCTGCAGAATGAACCACTTTATCATTCTCATATTATTGAAGGCAGCGTTGCCAGATATACCGATTTATCTGCATTTGTACCGATTTTCGAACTTGATGCCGATATAAAGCTAAGTTTTCTCAGAATACCGATTTTTAGATTTTATACAAATTAATACCGATATTTTTTAATAATCAAAATAATTATTGCCTGCCAGAGCTCAATTAGGCAATTGAGACGCTACAATAATCCTAGGGGGAGGGGGAGGGGCTTTAGCCCCCCGTATTTATACCAATGGGAATACTTGTATTAAGTGAACATATGGGCTCATCATAAGATCATTTTTATAACTTCTTGAATTTTATTTGATCTTCCCGTAGAAGTTTCATCCAACTATCCTCAGGAATTTTTAGTTACTTCAATTTTATAGTTATTTCAACTTCCCTAGGAATCTTCTTCTAACTTCGAAAGGTTCGTCCGTCTTCTCCTGCCAATTTTGTTTTTTTTCAAGACGAGGCTCGGTAGCTCAGTGGTTACCGTTTCTGCTTACTGAGCAGAAGGTCGGGAGTTCAATCCCAGGCCCGTCCCCTTCCTTGCAATTTTTCACTTTGCCTTATTCTATACCCACTAGATTTTAATGAAAACAAATTCTTCTTTAACACCGATCGCATCACTTACCACAGTGTGGGTCCTGATCTAAAAATAGAAATTGGATGAATGCGCGCGCGTGTGTGTGTGTGTGTGTGTGTTTGTGTATTATAATCGCTCTACCAAAAAACGATCCCTGCGTGTGCGTGCAACCTTTCCCCACATCCAACATCCCAGTGATTTCTCGTGGAAGCGCAGAGGATTTCTCGGTTTCCTTCACAGCGAGTACCACGTCAACACATTCCTTCCCATTCCCTAGTTGACCTGCATTCGGACACGGCCGGCGCTGGTATTGCTAAATATTAGATCTCCAGTTCTTACACATTGAGGATGAATGTTAGTCCCAAACATCATCTGTTGGTTCTCTGTGTAATTGAAGCTGATCTGGTAATAACAGAGCAGCAACCGTGGGCG